AAGTTTCTAAAGTTTGTTGGTAACTTTCTTCTCTTTTTCAAAAGCAAAACTGAGCCAGACATGGTGACACATACCTATAATCCCAGCACTCTGGGAGACTGAGGCGGGAGGATGGCAGGTTCAAGGTCAACCTGGGGAACAGCAATTTAGCAAGACTCTGTCTCAAAATAAATTTTTTTTAAATGGCTGGAAAAGCAGCTCAGTGTAAAAGCCTTGAGTTCAATCCCCAATACTGGGTAGTGGGGTGGGGACACAAAATTGGAAACATAGTAATTTTGTTTTTGTTTTTTATTTAGCCCAGATTGGCCTCTAACTAACTTACTATCCTCCTGCCTCAGCCTCCTGAGCAGCTAGGATGACAGGCCTGCACCACCACACATGGCCTTGTCATTCATGCTGTTTTGAGAGCTAATTTCTTTTCATTTAATATATCATGAGCATTTTCCCATACTTCAACATTTGTTTGAAAATTTACTCATGAGTCTAGAGACAGGCTTACATGCAATTAATTACCCAGGTGTTCTTGCATTTTTTATGCTGTCAGCCTCTGAGAATAATATCAACTAACATGCAGAAAAAATGTGGAAATTATGTACTCCTTGGTTCCTTGTTGAAATTTTATTTCAGAAGTTCACACAAAATCAAAACAAAATATGTTCATATACAAATGAAATCTTCAGACTTTAGAATCTATAAATGTAAAAATTCATCTCATGGACATTAAGAATGCCTACTAATAATATCGTTTAACAAGGAATTCTTATTGGAAGTTTTGACATAAAAAATAATTTTTCGTGCTCAAAAAAATACAGGGGGTAGATATTTTTAAGACCTTTATTTTCACTGTCTTAAGTTTTTTAAAAAACGTTTCTGTTATTTGAGATGACATGAAAGTCTTTTTAAAATTTTTTTATTGCATATCATAGTTCTTTTTTGATGTTGGTAAAAATTATCATTAGGGCAATTTAAATTGGATACATTGAGAGCTTCTTAGAAGTTAGTGTTCCAGTAGCTCTCTACTGGCAAGGAGGGCTCTTAAAGTAACAGTACCAAGATCTGTTCCAAATAAAGTTTACTTGCAATTATTATGATATACAGAAAATATTTGCCCTATTAAGTGGTTTCCTTCTGTGGTTTTTTTTTTTACAGCTAACAAGTTTTTCAGAGGTGTTATTACTATAAACATAAATATTTAAGCAAAGCCTGGCATGGTGGTGCATGCCTATAGTACTAGAACTCTGGAGGCCAAGACAGGATAATTGCCACAAATTTGAGGCCAGCCTAGGCTACATAGTGAGTTCAAGGCTGGTCTGAACTACATGGTGACACCTAGGTCAAAAAACCAAAAATAAATAAATATTTAAGCAAAATATTTGTGGACAAAAGTAAAGATATGATGAATATTTTTCTTCCCCAATTCTCCAAATTAAGAATAGTTATGGAGGGTGTATTTAGGGGTGAATGGAATTTTATGTTTTACGTATTTATGGAAGATGTTGAATATAAGAAATAGGTAATAAAAATAGTTTTAAATGAAATTTTGGAGTGTTATCTCTGCCTATTTTAAAAACTTAATGTAAATTATATTAACAAAATAAAAGATTTTTAGCTTTGTTCTGAAGTAAGTTATCACAGTGAATTGAGACAATATTTAAAAAGAAGAAAGCTGGGCATGGTGGCTCACATCTGTAATCCCAGCACTCAGGAAGGTGAGGCAGAAGAATTGTTTCAGCTCAGCCTGGGTTACATAGCAAGAATCTGTCTCAAAAGGAAAAAAAAAAAAAGAATGGAACTAATAAAGTTTGTTTCATCGTGTGCATATTTTCCATCTCCAGTGAATTTTTTTATTTATAATAAAAGATTTGTAATTATTTACTCTAGTCATAAAGAATTACATAGTTCTGTTATTTCTAGACAGATGCTAAACTATTTTTTAAATTATAGTTCATGCATTAAAGGCTAGTTTAACTTAAAATGATAGTGTCTTACAAATTTGATTATTTCAACTCCATAATTTTTGTTTTTATTTTGTGTGACAGTGATACAGACTTTCTTAATGGCCATGCTTTGATGTTGGAGGCTATTTAGCAGCATCTCTGGCCTCTATCCACAAGATTCTAGTAGTAATCCCCAGACGTGAAACCAAAAATGTCTCCCTAGGGAGCAAAATTGATTCCAATTGAGAATCACTGCCCTGGTATATTTACTGAAATTGTTATCATGCTTTTCAGGAGCATAATTTTGAATAAACCAGTATACTATTAGTAGCCAAGCACAAAATCAGCAAAATTAAAAAGCTACTAGGCAGTAATTTTGGATAGTCCAGCATAACAAAAATGTCAGACTATATTTTGCAGTGAAAGACTAGGTAATTGGTATAGATTGTCTAGGTAATTGGTATAGAACAGAACACTAGATGCATTTTAGTGAATGCTATATGGGAGAAATAAAATTAGTTCATAGTTATAGATGTAATTTATGGCCATTTCTTTCTTTAGTCCTTATTTTAAAATGTACGACCACAGGATCTGTGGATATTAAAGAACACATGGGGCCGGGGATTTAGCTCAGTGGTTCTACCGCCTGCCTCGCAAGCGCTAGGACCCGAGTTCGATCCCCGGTACCAAAAAAAAAAAAAAAAAAAAGAACACATGAACGTCCTTACACTATTTTGTGTTACCCATCCAAAGTACAGCAGTTTTCCATGACATGCTGGAATAATGTGTTTGCTGTTTGTCATATCTACGACAGGTGATTCCCAGCACCTTGCTGGGAACATCATTAATCTAACTTCCTTTACACAATTTTTGGCTTTCTGTGTCATGACCAACACTCATCAGGCAAGTCATCTCACAAGGTGTTTGTCAGTTTAAATGTATGCTAGAGGAAATGCAAAAAATGTAGCTCCTTCAGAGATAGAGAAAACCAAAATTAGACCCATTATCTCACCTTAAAAATTAAAATAATCTCTTAATATCATTAAGTATTCCATCATTCTTCAGATTTTCAATTGTCTCACAAATGTCTTTTTTTAACTGTTTTTCATTTGAATCAGGGCTCAAAAAAAATTCACAGCTTATGATTATTTGACATTTTTCTTAAATGTTTTCTAAATCCTTAAGTTTCCCCTTCTCTTTTTCCCAATTGTAATTTGAAACTGAATTGCTTGTATTGAATGTTTCCCACAGCCTAGAGTTTGCCTCATAGTGTCACTTACTTAAGTGTCACTTGTGTCTCTCTCCACTGTTTCCTGTAAGCTGGTAGTTGCAGCTAAAGGCTTGATCAGATTCAGATTCGGTTTTCTTTTTGGCAAGTCTATAAAGAAAGCAATAGCCAATAACAGCATTGTTGACCTCCTAGTTGGTGACTTGCAAACTGACTTAGCTAACATTTGTTGAATATTTACTATGTACCCAGTGATGTGCTTGTGTTCTGTAGTCGTTGTGTCATTTAATCTAAACCTCATGATACTAGTACAAACCAATTTCTGAGGATCAGACCTCGTCTTAGAGCCAGATAATCTTAAATGTCTTTCACACAAACCCTTTAGCATGTATCCCATTGTCATTTATTTGATTTAATGTGCTTATCTGAATTTTCCTTTTATTAAATTCATTTAGAGCTACCCAAAAATGTTTTGCATTAAACCCCTTTTAAATTTTTAATAAAGCTCGAAGACCTGGCATGTAACTATGAACTCATTGTACTCAAGCTTTTGGGATTCACCATCTGTTAACCTCACAAAGACAGATATCTAAACCCCAAGTAGCGCCAAAAGAATTCAGTATTTCCTGAGTCTCTTTTTCCTTTCCACTCATTGTCTTCTGCAGGTGCACTTATGGCTCTTTCATGTCTCTGCTTTCTTTGAATACTCACAGTGCTCACAGTATCCTACTGTTTCCCAGTGTGAGAAACTAGCTTGTGATTATAAAAGCAAAACTAGCTTTTCATTGTTTGTTTATGCATCTTTAATTTATTCTACTTAATTCTCTCCATAGTTCTTGGTACTACTGTTCATAAAATCAGACCATAAGCACACCAGACCCAAAAAATGAATGTCAAATTATGTTGAGCTATCACTTTGGAAGATTAAACTGTTTGATATTGATTGATGGACCAAATTGCAATTAGATATCAGAGCACTGGAAGCAAAACAATGCAAAGAGGATCCTATTGTGTGACTTTGCAAGTTGACATGCAAGGAGTAATTTATTCTTTTTTTTCCCATCCTCAGGGCCAATCCTAGGGGTGCTCTGCCATTGAGCCACATCCCCAACCTTTTTTATTTTATTTTTTATTTTGAACCACCAACTGTCTAAGTTGCCCAGGCTGGACTTGAACTTGCAAACCTCCTACCTCAGCCTCCCAAACTGGAATTACAGGCATGGGCCACTATGCCTAACTGGGTACTGTAATTTATTCTTCATAGATCTTAATTCTTCTTTCCAATCATTTGCTTGGCTGAATAGAAGGAGCCTAAAGCCCTGGTGATACAGTAGGGAAAGAGGAACGGCTGTGGAATTTGATTTCTTATTCTGGTTTTCACCATGAGACATTAGACAACCAGATTCTTTGTTCTCATTTCTTTAAAAAAAAATTTTAACATGATTATTCATAAAGACCTTTAAAATTCTTATCTAAGAGAGTCTTTTGTAAGCTCCTAGTAAATGGATTATATCTCTCTTTACCTGATCGTACACTGTAGCATGGTGCACGTGCTTGTGCTTAATAAGTAGCTTTTGATGATAGTGGCATTTGAAAGGTTATATATCTTAAAGGATATTTTGTTTCTTTTTTTCCTTGGCAGGACCAAGAAGCTTCCTTTTCTAAGACCAGTCCTGTTTGGTCTTGGTGAAAGTGCACTTTGTTCTAAAATTGCCATATAAAAGCCTAATATATACTGCATTATTCTAAGAAAGGGGGGAAATCACGTTCTAGGACAGTGAATGCTGACTTGGCTTGGTGCTGAATGAATGATTGTTGTGCTCTTTTACTCCCAGGCTCGCTTCTCATATGTTCGGATGAAATATCTTTTCTTTTCCTGGTTGGTGGTTTTTGTTGGAAGCTGGATTATATATGTGCAGTATTCTACCTATACAGAACTATGCAGAGGAAAGGACTGTAAGAAAATAATAGTAAGTATTTTCAATTTTCTGGTTTCCTGAAAAGCCTCTTAATAACACACTATATTTACTACTTAACTATTTTCCAACAACTGTTTTCAAAAATGAAAGTCAGTTTCACATGAGCATTGTGCTAAACATCTTGGCTTTTTTTTTTTTTTTGGTACTGAGGATCTAACTCAGGACCTTGCACTTATGAGGCAGGCACAGTGCCACTGAGCTAAATCCCCTGCCCTTTGGCTTTTTGATATGACTAAGTTAGGCATATTCATCACCTCGAAATATCCAGTACACAAAAATATAAATACCATATACTACAAATAAGTTTGTGTGAAAGCATCCTCATTACACAGAGGGATTTTGGTTTTTAGATATATTTAAACTTCAGTTTATTCTAATCAGATGAGTTTTTAATATTTAGGATATAAAAGTGTTATTGATAAGCAAGCTTTCTGGAACATGTCTTTTTTTTTACGGAACTAGGGATCGAACTCAGGACCTTGTAATTGCCAGCCAGGTGCTGGAGCCACTGAGCTAAACCTCCAGCCCTGGAACATGTCTTTTGAAATACTCAAATACTAAATTTTATATTACAAGCATATATTTATTATTCATTTTCTCTCCTATTGATTTAGTATATATCAGGAAAATCATGCTGTTAGTCAAAGATTTCTAGCAGTAATTGTTGGTTCCACAGCACTTATATATTTTAAATGTATTAAGATTTCAAGTAGCCAGGGATTTAGCTCAGTGGTTCTGCCACCTGCCTTGCAAGCAGAAGGACCCGAGTTCAATCCCTGGTACCAAAAAAAAAAAAGTAAATTTAAATTCAAGTAAATTTAAATTCAAGTAAATTTAAACTCCTTTTCTTCTATCAAGAGCTTCTAATATAAATAGTAAAACAATTCTAAGATAAAGTATTTTATATTATTTATTTAGAATATATTCATTTTGTTTTGTTTGTTTTGTGGTACTAGGGCTTAAACCCAGGACCTGGCATGCTAAGCAGGTACTGTACCACTGAGTTACATCCTGAGCTCTTAGAATTATACATATGTATGTATATTTTTTGTTTGTTTTTTTGTTTGGGTTCTAGGGATTGAACCCAGGGCTTTATACATGTTAGGCAAGCACTCCACCACTGGGCTGCATCTCTAACCCTTTATTTTTTATTCTGAGATGACATCTTGCTAAGTTGCCCAGGCTGGCCTCAAACTTGCAATTTTCTTGCCTAACCCCCTGACTAGCTGAGATTACAGGTGTGTGACATGGTACCTGGCTTAGAATTATACTTTTTTTTTTCCGGTACTGGGGATCAAACTCAGGACCTTGTGCTTGCAAGGCAGGTGCAGCACCACTGAGGTAAATCTCTGGCCCAATTATACTTTTAATAATGATTTTGGGATTCCAGTGATTATAAATTATTAAAGGTTCTATATGTATTGACTTTACTCTCACCACTTGGACTAGGTTTGTATATATAGCAAGGGAACAAGAATTGTTGACCTTATAGAACTTATAGTTATTCAGGGAGGGAAATAAGTAATCAGAGTAAGATAAATATTATAATAGGAAGTGTTATGGAAACATGCAGGAAGGCCTGAGGTTTCCTAGAGTTCTAAGGCAATAAAAACCAGTTTAAGACTAGGTGCTCCATTAGTCAGGATTGAAAAAAACCACAAAATTCAGGAGTATTATAGTCTCTTAAATGGGCAAGGGAAGAATCACTAATATGAGAAGCAGGAATGAATTAGTAAAGAAGGGTCCCAAATCAAGATTTAAAGATATCAGTAATACATCTGTTTCAATTAGCCATTCCAGATTCTTGAGGAATTTTAAGGTAGGAGGAACCTCTGGGGCCAGTTGGTGTATTAGGTACTTTACATGTTCATTTAATACCTAAAATAATACTATAAAAATCCCCAAAACCCATTTTATAAATGCAGAAAAATGACCCAGAAAGAAGAATTGCCTGAGATGATGGAGCCAGAATTTGGCCCAATTCTGTCTCTATGTAAAGTTCATATTCTTTCTGCTATCCTATGTCAGAAGAGACTAACAGAGAAAGTTATAATCCAATAAAGCTAACAAAAAAGATGCAAAACTTATCTGGTTACCTTCATCGAAGAAGGAGAGTGCAGGAGTTATATAATCAATTATAATAACTAACATGCAGTGTACCAAAACTATTTCAAATATTTATTCCCTTCAAAAGAGTGCTTGCCTAGCAAACACTAGTACAAGGCCCAGGTTACAGCCCCAGTACTGAAAAACAAACCCATGGATAAAATATTTTTCTGGTCAAATATATTTGGAAACATAGAGTTAGACAAAAACTAAATAAATAGCTGACTTTCCTGAAGACTTCTCAGCATCTTCAATATAGTAATATGTATTACACATCTCCAAGAGAAACTAAATATATTTGAATGGAAAAAATACACACACATCCCTTTCCAGGAAGACCTATTAGCATCATCTGGAGATTTTAGAAATACTCTTCAAAGAGATTAAGCCAAAATTAAATGGATATGACTTTAAGTATATTGTATTGATATAACATAAAATATAAGGCACATATTGGTACATATTCTGTCATAAGTGAATTATAATTGAAGTGCCTCATTTTTCACTTTAATTTAATTTCCCTTTAATGTAATTTGTAAGAAATGGAAATAGAACCTAATTGTAGTATAATTTGATACTTGTCTTTCTAAAACTTGAAAATAATGAAAAAGCTTTCTAAGTTTAAAATACATCATTTTTCTAAGGCTGGCTTTAGAAACAATTACATTTACTCTGCATTTGGAACTATGTTTTATAACCCTATCATAACCAGTAAGGACAGTATAGTAAGATAATATTAATACTGCATAGGAACTATGGGGTTAGAACTAACCAGAAAAAAATATTTTAAAAGTAGATTTAAAGCTTCAAAGACCTAACATGATAGTGAAGAATTACTTGATCAAGATTTGGGGGATGATGAGATTTGAGAACAGTCAGCTTAGTTTTAACAGTGAGCTTACTTTTTGTGGCTGCTTTTGCCTGGAGATGTATGCCCTGAAATACAGTTTTAGGGGTGTAGGGAAATAAAAATCTAGTCCCAGTCCAGTCAAAGGTGGGAACTCTTGTACACTATTCTCTTGGGCCAAGACCCTGAAAGGCTAAAGCCCAGGAGTAAATGTGAACTAAAAGAATTTCAGAATGAAGAGCTGATTTTTGTAATTTCCTGTACTCTGTGTAAATTTGTTGATTCTGAGCATAGCCAAAAGGGTTGGAGAAGGCCAGGAGTGGTGGTGCACACCTGTAATCCCAGCACTCAAGAGGCTGGGGCAGAAGGATCGCCACAAGTTCAAGGCCAGCCTGGGCTATATAGTGAGTTCAAGGCCAGCCTGAACTACATAGCAAGACCCTGTCTCAAAAAGTACATAAAAATATCCCCAAATATGAAAAACTCCGAGTTCATATACTTCTGATCACAATGATTTCAGATAAGGGATATTCAACTTGTATATACATACAGCAATATATGAATATGAATACAGCCTTTAAAAAGAATGAAATTCTGATGTGTGCTACAACATGGATAAACAATTGTAAACATATGCTAAATGAAATAAGCCAGACACAAAAGGACAATATTATATAATTCCATTTATATGATGTACTTAGAATAACAGTTACATATAAATTGGGAGAAGGTAAAGGAAGTTAAAGTGTTTGAGGTTCTTACAATATTATAGAATAAGGTAAAAGTATTAATTAACTTTAGACTTTGATAATTCATGGATGCATATTATTTCTGGGATAAACTCTGACATTGAAAAAGTATGCCATTTCCTAACTAATATAGAGAAAAATTGAATAAAAGAATACTTGGTTCAAAAGAAGGCAAGAAAATAAAGTAAAGTAGCAGAGCAGTCAGAAAAAATGGAAAACAGGTAGTAAGATGACAGATGTCATAGACTGATTCCCCTAGGAGACAGATTTAGAGACTGAGATTTGCCTGGAACAAGTCTATCAGGGTGAGCTCTTGGGAACAATGTCTCTAGGGAGTGAGAAAGCAGGATGAGGGGCTAGGGATTTAGCTCAGTGGTTTTGGAGCCTGCTGCGCAAGCTCAAGGACCCGAGTTCGATCCCGGGTACCAAAAAAAAAAAAAAAAAAAGAAAGCAGGATGGGCCAGAGGGAGAAGTAAACAATGCAGTGTTGCAGAGGTCTGTCAGCCCTACAGGGGACTCAGGAGCTAGGATGACCTTCTAAGGTCCACACCTTTCTACCCTTTTATGGACCACTCAGTGGATGCAGCTTCCCACCTTCACATCCACCTCTACAAGAGGACATGATCATGAGCAAGGCAGTGCTCTACCTGACAGAGTCTTAAAAGGAGCTCAGCTGAGAGCTATTTATACCTCTGCTCCCAGAAGCTAAGGGATTGAGTGCTCCTGTCCTAAAGAAGGAGATTGGGGGAGGGGGGCCTACTATAGCAATAACTGTAGTATGTTTAAGCCCAAATATGTTGAAAATTATATTAAATGTAAATTCACTAGTTGTTTCAGTTAAAAGAAAAAAAGATGGGCTGGGGATTTAGCTTAGTGTCTCCATACCTGCCTCTCAAGTGCAAGGTCCTGAGTTCGATCCCCGGTACCAGGAAAAAAAAAAAAAAAAAGATGATCAGGCTGCTTTTAAAAAATAAAAATTAACTCTATTATGTTTGTAAGAGACACATCTAAAATATAAATCTGTCAGAAGCCAGATTTGGTGTTACACGCCTGTAATCCCAGCACTCGAAGGCTGAGGCAGGAGGATCACCACAAGTTTGAGGCCAGCCTCGACTACATAGTGAGTTCAAGGCCAGCGTGAACTACATAGCGAGACCCTGTCTCAAAATATAAAATAATATAAAATAAAGATAAAGATGTTAAAAGTAAAAGAATAGAAAAGCATGGAAATATTCAAATTCTAACAATATGTGTGTGAATATATATATTTTTCATGTTGTATTTTATAC